GCTGAGAAGGGTAGTGGGGCGGAGGTACGAGAGTATTAGGGATTGTTAATGGACACAAAAAATAGTTAGAAAAAATAAGATCTAGTATTTTATAGCAAAACAGTCAACAATAATTTAATTGTACATGTAAAAATAACTAAAAGAGAATTATTGAATTGTTTGTAACAGGGAAAGGATAAATATTTGAGGTGATGAATACCCCATTTATCCTGATGTGATTATTACATATTGTATGCCTGTATCTCATACATACCATAAATATATACATGTACTATATACCCACAAAAATTAAAAATTAGAGAAAAAGAAAAAACATAAAAGAAAATCTAATATGAACTAGGTAGCATCATGCCTTTATTAAAAATTTACATATATTAAAATAATAGAGAGGATTTTCAGAACCTAAAATTCTCTTTTTTTCTCTTGTTAGAATTGCCACGTCTGGTGTAAAATAGGGAGAGATCAATTATTTATTTTTACCTCATTAGTCAAGTGACATTGTATCTGAAATACATTTAATTTTGTCAGGGATTAATGTCCACTGGATTAACTATGTTTGAATCAGTCTAACAGATGTTAAATGTTCCACACTTAAGCAGAATCAAGTAGTAATATTATATATACAAAACTGTCACCACATCCTTAGAATTTTGCTGGACATATATGTATAATCTGTACATTATAATCTTTTACAAATAGTGATGTTTTCCGTTGCCATGTAACAGTTCAAAACTTACTACCCTGTTGGATCTTAATACAGCAGACCTTTTTACTTAATATTTTCTTGACTTTTTAGGAGGTTAGTTACTTGGATATAATTGGTTTTTTATGACATGGCATTTTAAGCTCTTTATAATCTGCTAAACGACCCTTCTAAATAGGTGAAACATGCATTTAAGTCAGTTACCTAGTGGGAATTAATTTAATTAAGCCAAGACTGTTCTACTGTATTGTCCTTTGTTTCTTGACTACAAACTATCTCTACCCCTGAGAAGCATTCTCTCAAATGTTTGCTCTTAAGCTGAAAGGAAACCAGGCAAGAGAATACAGATAGCTCAGCCGAAACCAGCAACTATTGATTGTGCTTTATAATCACTAACACTGAACTATGTAAATATGGTTGGTCAAGTGGGTCTCCTTTGAATATGAAAGTTTATAAAATATGGAGGCTAGCAAGAAAAGTCCACCTACTACTCCTAGAGTTTCATAGAACACAAATATGAAACAACACCCAAAATTTGAACCAGGTCAAGAACTTCCAAGGCAGTAGTGAGGTGAGGACCATAATTTCTCTTTAGAAATTACTTCTTTTTGAAATTATTTCCTTTCTTTAGATTTTCTGAAAAATGGCCATTCGTTTATTTGCCTTGGGTGCACACTTAAGCATTGTTGCTTTGCCTTGAGTTTGCTGGAGCAATTATCATCATGGACTTCTCGTCTATAATTAGAGACAAGGAGTTTGACTGGTTAGCAATTATTATAGTTAAATAGTGATCTGATTAAATGTACTTCATTGATGCATGTTCAATAATCTAATAATTTTGTAATAAAAAATTTCATGTTTTGTATAGCCATATATGTTTACATTCTTTAGCACAGCCTATATTCCTTCCTTGATTATAGGTGAACAACTAAAGTAATTATCCAAGATTAACATTTGAGATAGCTCTCATTCAGCAGGCAGATGAGTATATATGGGGTACAGCTATGTTTCACGTAGCTTATCAAGTCAGTATTGTAACAGAGAGAAAACTTCTATTCATTACTGCTACCATTATTCTGGCCCAAGGTACTCATGTACCCTTGGGAGGGCTTCTAATTTGCTATTCTCAAGGCAACAGAAAGGTGGCTTTGAGCCAACTCTAAAAGTTATGTCAAAAGACACCAACAAATAGTTACATTAAAATTAAGAAGCTCCAAACAGCTGTGATTTAGTAATGGAAAATATTGCTAACTGGTACAACCCAGTTTATGGTTAGGAAATTTCAGCTTGGTCTTGAGTAATACTCCTGTCAAAGACTTAAAAATATATGAGAATTTTACTCCCCTCAGTCCTCATCCCTCCAAAATTTGAACTCAACTGTGTTACTGATTCTAAAAGGGCAGGTTTTGTCCATATCTTATGATTTTCCTAAACATATTGACCCTTTAAATGAGAAATAATTCTGAATAATGACTTGCTTGCTTTTAACCTTCATTTCCTGGGAAGAGTCAATCACAGAGAATCTGATGGACATGATCCAGCAGTCTATGTAGAACTCAAATACCAGCCTCCAACTCTACAAGGAGTTCAGTTTAGTTGCTCCATTTAGACTGTGTGATGATACTGACTCTTCCTAGTGAGGAAGAAAGTACAAAGGTTCACCATGATATTCCTAAGGAAGGGCTGCCTATACTCTTGCTAACATTCTTAACCATTTTTGTTGGCTTTGTTGTCATTGTTGTTGTTGCTGGCAGCTTTACGATAGAAACCTGCAAAAAAAATTCTTTCCAGAATCATGAGCACTTGGGGGCAGGTCTAATCAGGTAGATGACTTCTTTGAATTCAACAAGTATTTAGTGAGCAGCTGTAGAGTATTTAACCAATATTGTATTAGATACTATCAGATATCCCAAAAAGTATGACTCATTCTTTACTCTTAAATGTATTTATCTCTTCTGTGGTAGGAAAAGGGTGCTGAGAGAACAAGACTTATATCTGTGTAATAAAATAAAAACAATTCAAGATAATTGAGCACAAATTGCTGAATTGAATTAGCTTGTTGGCTGGCATAGTTTTAGTTTTCATGGATATGGTAGATCTTGAGATGAGTTTCAAAGGATGGGTAAGATTTGGATATACAACAAGAAAGATAGAGGGTATTTAAGCAGAAAACAATGTGAGTAAAATCATAGAGGCAGGAATAACATGGTGTGCCTCTCAAAGAGTGAAATCTACTGTGGCTGAAGGAGAGAACATACTGGGAAACAGAAAATATTTTTATGTTTATGTAAGCATTTAAAGGTTTTATATAGAACATGTAGATGTAGATACCTGAATCTATATCTATTTTCAAATATTATCTACATCTGTATATATGCACTATTTTTAATTCTATTTTAAAAGGTACGATATTTAAATGTACTATGTGGTAATATTGACTTTACAGATTTACCCATCTACTCATGCCTTCATATCTGAGACTCTATTTTGTTTAGGAGATAATCATTATTTACTCAGGAAAGCAACTCCAAAGCGTACATGGACAAGACAACTAACATTGTGATTATATATTTATCTAGACTTAACAAAAATGTGATGATACTACACTGTATTTTGTATTTCACTTTTTTTCACTGGCCAATATTTTATAAACTGTTTTTTGTCACAGATGTAGTTATGATAATTTATCTTTGCTTACTTTGCAATTCTTCCATTCGCCTTAGAATGTATAGTTTTTTTAGGGTCTGAAACCAGGGGACAGGTTGAAAAGGAAGTATCAGTAGTCAAATTCAAAGTCAATTTACCATCTATATGCTTAATAATAAATGCGTTTTTAAGGTACTTGGTTTCACATGCAATATCAATAGTAGTGTGGAGTATAACCTAAGTTATTATCCTCCAGGCAGTGTGTTGGGAGCCGTGGTGCCCAATATATTGAAAGGACCGATACCCAAGAATAGGAAGCCAAAAGAATGTGTCTTATTTAGGACACTGTTCATAGTAATTTGAGTCTAGGATTTCAAATGTCTCTGAAGTCTATGTGTTCTCTACAGTTGGCTCTAAGCTACTCTTTCCCATGTGAGACTGATTAAATATTCACTTTAAATAATAAATGGGGGAAGTCAAACAAGAAATACATCAAAACACATTGAATCGAGTAGGTTTATTTAATCTACCTTTAAGATATACTAACAAATCAGGCTGACTTTCACTGAGAATGTGCAAGTCCAATTGGAAGTAATTCTTCTGTCGTCAGTATAATTAAAAAATCAGTATGATTTTGATATATGCAGATATAGCTGCACTCCCATGTTGATTGCAGCACTATTCACAGTAACCAAGATACGGAATCAACCTAAGTGTCCATCAATGGATAAGTGGATAAAGAAAATATGGTATGTATATATACAATATACATAATGGAGTATATTCAGCCATAAAAAAAGAATAAAATCCTGTCAATTGAGGCAACACGGATAAGCCTGGAGGACATTATGTAAAGTGAAATAAGCACAGCACAGAAAGGTAAATATCACATGTTCTCACTTTATGGGGGAGCTAAATATATTAATGTCATATAATGTCATGAAAGTGGAAAATAGAATAGTGATAACAAGAGGCTGAGAAAGGAGGGGGAAGAAGATACAGGGAGAGATTGGTTAACAATTCAAAACTACCACTATATAGGAGAAATAAGTTCCAGTGTTCCATAACATTGTAGGTAGACTATAGCTCATAGATATTTACTCTATATTTTCAAATATCTAGAAGAGAGGATTTGAAATATTCCCGCCATGAAGAAATGATTATTGTTTGAGGTGATAAATATGCTAATTTCCTGATTTGATTATTACAGATTGTATGTAGGTAGTGAAACACCACACTAAAACCCATAAATACGTACTTTTATTATGTGTAAATTAATTTTTAATTTTAAAAATTTAAAAATATAATTCACATTTTCTTTTTTTCTCACAAGATATATTTGAATAAGCCATGTGGTTTAATTTACTTATTTGGCTGTTTTATTTAAGTGACTATATTTAAGAATATTTATGTTATTCAAGTTTTGCATTCATTCGAACACTTAGACTTGAGTTAAATGAAGTTGAAAATGCCATTGCAATGTTGATTTTTCTTTAAATTTTTCCTATATTAAAAAATGTATCCCTGTAAAGAATTGGCTTGATTTATATGATGACTTTAATAGGTTATCTTACTTTGTTTTGCTGCACATAAAAATATCTGTGAATTTAGAAAAAATATTGCTTACAACTGTGATTGATGTTTGCTTCAGGTGATAATTCAGGATGATGTCCCTGAAAAATTGGACCCCAAATATTTTGGAGAGTTGCTGGCTGATCTGAGCCGAAAGAATACGGATCTATATCACTGCTTATTAGAACATTTGCAGAGAATTGGAGGAAGGTACTGTAAACATATTATTTCCCTTGATGTTGTAGCTATCAAACATTTTACAACATTCTAGTATTTTAAAAATAGACTTTATTTTTACCAGCAGTTTTAGGTTCACAGCAAAACTCTAATGCTTTCAATAGGTAGAAGGGCAGATATGAGAAAATCTCTCATTTTAAAAGTTAATGTAGATTATGAAAATAATCAGACAAAAAACTAAAAACACAAACCCTTTTAGGATTAGTAAAGAATTCCATGTACCTTCTTTTGTAGTGTACTTTCACGGCAAAAGCAAACTCTTGGGCAAGGAGCTCAAAAATGCATGGCATGCTATAACTTGTTTTAAGATATTACACTGATGATATTAGGTACGGTCCTACTGCCAGCACACTACTGTTTGTCTTCCACTTATGTGTGTTCAACATATGGAGGCCGAGATTTAACATATATTTGATATGTCATATATTATATATAAACTATATATATTATGTTATTATTATCTATTACATTATATTAAATATATATCAATAGATATAAATATAAACATAATTTTATATAACACAATATACAATTATATAGATTTAAATAGATATGCATTAAAAATTTGTCAACTGTTCATGTGTAGATGAGACCATATTTTGTCATGAAATGAATTCTATATGCTGCATCCCAAAAGGTGCCTTCTGCTATAGGGTTACAGCATATATGTGGTTATCTGTCAGGGAAAATCTAGAAAAGCTCCACAAATTCAAAATAATCTGGAAGATAAAGGAAAGTTAATAGATTTTTTTCTAATTCAAAGTTTTCACTAACTAGATTCTTTTACTTCTTAGATTTTAAATAATATATAATTTTATATAATATATAGGTTAATATAAATGGAATGACACCATATATACTATTTTGTATGTTTTTTTCACTCCAATATATATAGTATATATTTTCCCATGTCAGTATTTTGATGTCTGTAATGTATTCTGTCTTAATCTCTTGTACATCTTGTATTTTATCTACGTATTAGCTACCTCCCACCTGACTTTTATTGCTTTCAAATTAATGACTATAACCATTGTCTTACTATCACTTTCAACTGCTTTGCCTCATTATCAAACTGCTCTTCCCACTTAGCAAAACTCCAATTCTGGATTACTCTAGCTCTCTGCCTTATCCTCTCTCTCTCTCTCTCTCTCTCTCTCTCTCTCTTTTAACCACCACCACCCCCTCTTTCATCCAACATTCACTACCTTTAGAATGCAGAGAGCTCCATGAGGGCTGTTTTATTTACCCTGGTGTCCTTGGTGCATAGTGTGGTGGCTGGTTTACTGTGGTGCTCAATGGATATGTATTGAATGAACAAATGCCTTCTTTACTGCTATGCATATGCAGCTTGTCACTGCTAGAGAAAAGCAGAGCCATCTATTTGAACTGGTGCCATTATAAATGCATTTCTATCTTCAACTTGGTCTTCATCATAGTTTTATCCTAATCAACACCAGCTCCTATTACCCATTACACAAACAAGTCTCCCTCTTTCACATTACCCAAACAACTATTTCATCTCTTTGCACATGTTCATTACTTTAAAATATTTCCCTTAATGTAATAGCCAGTTATATGTTGAGCCTCCACCATGTGCCAGGCATTATCTATATTATCTAATTTGCATGGTAACCTTACAGAGTTACAGATCAGATAAAGACCCAAAAAGAATAAGTTATTAAGATCACACAGCTACTAGGTGCCTGAGATGGATTCAAACATTTTTGAGTACTCCGTTACCTATAATCTATGAAAGTTTCTGCAAAGCCTTCCCTAAATCTTCAGTTTAGTCTAGATGCTCTACTTCTTTGCATTAACCATGCCCTGTGAATATTTCTATCAAAGTGTCACATTGTAAAATTCAGAGGTGTATAGGACATAATCTTAAGATCTGGAGTTCATATCCTGGTTTCATGTCCCAGTTTTATTTTTTTCACATACTAAATGTACAGTATCAGGCGAGTAAAAATACTTCATTCATTTTTTTTAAAGCAAGAAATGAGTTAAGACATGTAGTTACAAGTGGCATCCACATCATGTGAACATTTAAAAATAGACCTAAAGAATCAGAAACTCTTTGGGGAGGGCTCAGCAACAAGCCCTTCAGAGGATTCTGATGCATGGTCAAATTTGAGAACCACTAAACTAAGGTTCCAAAAGTGGCAAAATCTGGGACTAGAACTCACACTGTGAGAACCAATTTTCCTTAAGCAAATCACTTAACCTTGCAACACTAGATGTGTAATGAACAGGCAAATTGTTTAAAATTTTGCATACGGAGAGTGTCACTCGGTTCCTCTTTCTGCCCAATGTAATTCTAGCCACTATCTTCCAGTGTCAGATGGAGATTTGCTCCACACTGACCTTTCCACCTCCCTGATCTACTCTATTTGCTTCCATGTTCTCCATCTCTCCCTCCCTTTCTGTATCCACTTTTCACATTTTTCCAAAATGCAGTTCAGCAATTAGTGGGCTGTAGGATAAAAATTAAGGATACACATGAAAACATTCTGGTTACTTTTTAAAATTCCAATATGCAGTGCTATTGATTGTTTCTTGTTTTGTTACTTTGTTTTGTTTTCTTATTTATAGAAAGAACAGTGACTAGGGACATGTGTTGGCATTTGAATTGGGAGAAATAATGATTAATATCTTGTAAATGCAACAGGTCTATTAATACTATCATAATTCCAGTTAAAAGTAATGGAAAACTACTAAAACTGCATTGTGATTCACATTTTTAACTTGCTTTAGCTTTGCATGTATACATGTAGTCACTTCAGTAAAGCATTAAAAAAAAAAAACAAGATATTTCTACTTTTACTAGGGAGTTCCCATAAATTCTATTTTGGGCAACACAGGAAATACCACCTAGGTACATGCAGACAATTGCACATATGTAGTCATGCCTGAGGAAAGGGACCCTTCAGTTCTCTTTCTATGCACTAGTTCATATAGTTTTTTAAGTGTGTGTAAAAGGTTTTTCACAGTAAGTGACCCACTTATCTCTGTAGGCAATATATTACTCATAAGAAATTACAAAGAAGGTAATGGTAGGAGTTAACACCCTGAAACTATTTTACTTTAAAATAAATATTCTGGGGGCTGAAGAGGGAAAAATCTGGGAACCTGAACGGGGCTATCACACACTGGAGGTCCTTTCTAGGCCCCAACAACTCTTAGGGGAGGAGTGAGTTGAGCAGGCAAGCAACAACCTGCACTTGCCATGGGTCTCTGGAAACCTGCCAGCAGGAGACTTCACAACTCCCATGAACACGTGAGTTGGCAGGGAGAGATGCTTAAAGAAGTGGTAGGGGCAGAACTTCAGTAAGTTCAGAGACCAGAGGGTTGATGTGGGAGCCTCTGTAGTAGAGCACGGCCAGGGATGCCCACGTTTCAAGGCTCGTCTTGCTCCCATAGGACACTTTAGCTCTAACGAAATTGTTGGACCTAAACATCGCAGGGCAGTCTTGCCCACCAGAAGAGGCCAGAACACTCCTCAGTCTACTGCCCTCTCCGGCGGCCCCAGACGTGCTGTGCATGCTTGCAGTGCAGTCTCAGATGCCCAGGTGGGGTGCCTCCTGGGGACCTCATCATACCTTCTGCACTGGCTGACAGTACTTCAGCTGTGAAGAGCTCTCTGGGCAAAGGAGCAGCCTCTGTGGGCATGTACTAGCCTGCCCATGTCCTCCCCCAACACAGCCTCCCTCGTGCCACTTTGCTAGCACCCACTCACCTATGGCTATCCCCCATCCTCCAAATCATTTGACATTGCATAGGTGAAGATGGGTCTTGCCTCCCCTTTACCCAGTAGCATGAATGTGTGCATGCATCTTGCTGTGGCACAGCCGCCAGCGTGGGTGCATCCGGCTCCCCAACCCTGCTGTGCCAACACTGTCATCAGAGCATTCGTGGGCTCAGCAACGCTGGCCCAGCATCCACCAGCACCCCGTACCTGCACTGAAACTGCTGCCTGTGTGAAAATATTCGAGGAGACCAGTGGACCCGTCCCCACCCCCAACAGTAGCTGCCGCCTGTGTCAGTGTGTACACAAAGGGCATGCACAGTCCAGTGCTACCAGTGCCCCACCCCTGTGCTAACCCCACTGCTGGGCAAATGCACACAAGAACACTGGCGGAACCTGATGCCTCCCCTACCACCACCATACTGTCACCGCTGACACTGTGAACACCAGCACAGAGGCCAGCACACCTGTACCTGCAAGCTCCATGTTGCAGCCAATGCATGTATACCCCATCATACTGCCACTGCTGCTGGCGTGTGCAAACGAGGATGGATCACACTGCCACCACTCTCCTGGATATGGTGGCTGCCACCACCCATAGGAGATTCGTGACCAGTTGTCTGGGAAGTACCCAGCCTCTCCAATGTGGCAGGTTCCTAACGTTCAGGGGCCACATATCAAAGCCTGGCCCAATATCACCACCCAGAATTAGAGCATGCAGTTCAGGAGCCCTTAGCTGAACCTAAGACTCCTAAAATCCTCTAGAAACAAAGCCAGTCGACTGTACTCACCTTATACAACAACGAAACCTCCAAGGACACCAAATAGGATAAAAGAAAAAAAATAACCAACCAAAGGTCAGCAACTTCAAAGATTGAAGGAACATCAGCCTACAAAAATGAGAAAGAATCAGTGCAAGAACTCTGGCAACTCAAAAAGCCAGAGTGTCTTCCTACCTCAATAGGATTGTTTTACTTCCCCAGCAATGATTCCTAACCAGACTGAGATGGCTGAAATTACAGAAATAGAATTCAGAATATGGATAGGAACAAAGACCATCAAACTGCGGGAGAAAGTTGAAACCCAATCCAAGGAATTTAAGGATTACAATAAAGCAGTACAGGAGCTGATAGACAAAATGGCTATTATAAGAAAGAACCAAAGTGATCTGATAAAGCTGAAAAACACTCTATAAGAATTTCATAATGTAATTGCAAATATGAACAGC